CTTGGAAAGCCATCACCTTCTCACACAGATCCCTTCATAGCAAAGCCTTTTATTAACAGTTGACAACATGAAACAGGCGGGCCTAATCCAGAAGAGCCAGTAATCATTGTCTGGGAGGATGCAGGTAACAAGATAGTGTGAATTGACCAACTGGCTGGATGGAAGTCACACATCCGTGTGATTCTGCCTCATGACCTACAGGAGGTCATAAAAGTTTATGACCCTTCTGGTTGAAACACAGGATAGTTATCACTCTAACAATGTACCTTGTGTTACCTGAAGATATGGATGTTGGCTTTCTGTATGGAAGTGAATCTCTGAGTACCTGGAGCCAAGCACCTGTAGTTGTCTGTGAGAGTGCACCTGTGCCTGCAAAGTTTATCCATAGAAAAAATGCTCAATAGTGGTTGTGGAGAGCCGAAGAGGCGCCCTCCCAGAGCACTGAGTCCAGCGCCGGGAGACCCAAAGCCCCAGACGCCCACCAAGGGAGGAGGAGAGACAGCCTCCAAGAAGCCCCTCCAGCCACCGCAATGCCAGCGCCCCAGGGAGCCACGGGGACGAGTCAGCGGGCTCCGCCAGCAGCCGGCCACCCTGAAGTGAATCCGGCCCTGGGCCCCAGGGATCCGAGACCCCCAGAAAGGAGTCCCAGCAAGGCCCCGGCCGGCCGGGCCCAGGAATGAGCCAGCAGCCACCCAGGCATCCACCCCCAGACCCCGAGCTCCACCAGTTCACAGGCGAGCCCCGACGCCAGCCAGCGGAGGGAGAGCAGGACTGGGGGAAGACTTGAGATGCTTAGCGGAGACTTAAGATGTATTTGAGAGAGGGGGCAGTTCAGACTCCAACCTGGGAGAAAAAAAAAAAACTCGCAGTCTCAATCATGCCATCCCACCCTAGTGCCCTCACTCGCACCACAGATGAAGGAAAAACAAAAAACACACAGTCACACATAACACTCACATCCAATAATACCAGGACCAAGGACCTGTCGGCAACAGTGGTTGGTCTCGGGATTATCGTATTATCGGATGACCCAATAAGTGAACCTGAAATCTGGATGGGGGGGAGGGGAGCGGCGAAACCGCCACACCAGCCCATCTCATTCCTGCTTCGGGCCTGGCCCCCCACCCCGCACCCATCCAGCTACCCAACCAGACAAGCGACAGCCCCGCCACCACCAAGCCACCTAGGCCCCGCAGCCGCCCCCCGCCAAGACCACAGACCTGGTGGCTCACTCTTCCTCCAGGCCCCAGACTCCGGGCAGCAGCCGGGGTGCAGGGGTGTTAGAAGACCCCAATCCTCCCTGCGCTTGCTCAAATGTGGTGTTGTTGCGTGTTGCTCTCATATGTAATTAAAACTGGGAGTACCAAAAGGGGGTGTCCGGCACAGTTCACCCCCCCCTCCGGGAGATAGGCGGTGCCCAGAGCCCTCAATGTCTAAATGCAAAAGGGGATGGGGGGAGCCAACTGTAGTGAGGCTCATAAAATAGGCAACCCTTGACCCCCACCCCCCAGAAAATGCCCTACATAGATGTGTGTTGTGAAAATGTTGTAGATGGTCTACAATGCAAAATAAAATTGGGGTGGGGGACATCGTCAGAAGGCGGGGCCCTCTATGAGGGCCAAAAACAGCAGAGATCCAGGTGGAAAAAGGGTCCCAGCGTTCTTGTGCACCTCGCTCTTCTAGCGGGTCAAACTTCACGAGTGGTTTTCCGCAATTTCGGTCATGAAAACAAAACAAGCCGGCCTCCTGTCTGCGGCACTGTCTGCGGTCAAAAAAAAAAAAAAAAAAAATGTATCGATTAATCGAATTGAATCGTATCGTGGTGTATTCTTGAGTATGGAAAAATAATGGAATCGTTGGGTCAGGAAATCGATACTGAATTGAATCACCATGATGGATGTGATTTACAACCCTACAGGCAGCCCCGTCCAGGAAACACACAGCCAGGCAGACGAGCTCCAAGCCAGCTCCCAGCAGGGCGATACTGCGATACAGCAGCCCTGGCAATTTCTCAATTCACAAAAACATGAGTATGAACTCGTGTTCTCGCCAAGTCTGTTATTGGGAAGAACCCAGGAATGTCTGGATTCAGGGAGAACAGAAGCAGGCAGAATAAATCTGGATCAAACAGCAACGTACTGATGAACATTCAAAGCTAGTCTAAAGCTTAAATTCTGACTTTTTTCATTTATTGGGGGAATAAAAATGAACACAGTCAGATAAACACAAATCAAATGATCATTTTGTCAAATAAAACAATCAAACCCCCATCGGAGCCAGCAGTACTTTACACACAGCTATGCAGAGAGAGGGCTGCTGCAGACGAGCTAACGTTAGTCCCGGCTGCTG